TTAAACATTTGGGATCAAAGGATTATGGTGATGATATTTGTCCCATAAAAATTATGGTGATAATGATATGTGTCTCATTAATAAGTGCTACTATATACACTATTTTTCAACAAAAGAGACAAACACAATTAGTGGTAGTGCTTAAGTGATTGAAAGCTCCAGAAGAGCCACTACTATATTTCTCCCTGTAGGAGAAAAGTTTATCATCAATAAAGTACTACTTTTTACCATGTCTCGAAAAATTTATTGAATTTGAATATCCGTTGAAATGGATATCAAATTGAGACACTAAATGAGATAATAATATAATTATATTTAGAAACAAATGAGATAAAGGTTAATTATATCATAATAACCATTCGAGAGAGAAATGGTTATCGATATAGTTGTCTTCATTCTCATCTGATTTATAATCATTACCTGCAGTAAACCAGAAGTTTACTGATCCCAATTGATATATGATTTGACAAAAGTGAGAATATTTGAGAGCCGACAAGTATTTATACATACCCCCTTTATATTATATATGACTCCAAAAGAAATTTAGAATTTATGTCGGGTATAAATCACTTTTTACAATTAAATATCGTAAAATATTTGATAAGTGATCTATTAAATGATTTATTTATTCTGATGAGTTACGATTCCAGCTATTAGGGGGAAGAAGAAATCAACCGAAAGAAAATCACCTGAAAATTTGGATTTTCTCGATTCTCATACAAAATAACGTGAACTGGAAGTTCAAGAAATTATTCATTTGCAGAAAATTGCAAACCAGTTATCAGATATATTACCGACTCCAGAAAAGTTATTAAATTAACTATTCTCGCAGGAAATACCTTAGTTAAAATTGATGTCCCTGAAGGACATGCACAAGTAGTACAAATAAATTTAAGGCAGGCTTACCTAATATAAGGTATGAATTGATTTCAAATATCTCCGGAGATTAAATAAATGTCATGACAAAATTCAATCTCTTGAAGAGGTTGCTCTTGAAGAGCCAACTCCTGAAGAGAATTAAATCATACAAAATTTAATTGGAACCTAATGAAATGTAGCACTTGATATTATAGAAATTGATGAGAATCATGAATCTAGATCGGTTGATGAATGTCGGTATAGAAATGATTGTTTAAAGTGGAAAGATGCAATCCAATCTAAATTGGATTTATTGATTAAAAGAAAAGTTTTTGGACTTGTAGTCCAAACGCCTAAAGGTGTAAAACTAGTAGCTCAAGGATTTTCACAAAGGCCTGAATTTGATTATGATGAAACGTATTCACCTATAGTGGATGCTATCACATTTAGATATCTTGTGAGTTTTGCAGTACATGAAAAATTAGATATGCGTCTAATGGACGTCGTTACTGCATATTTATATGGAAATCTTGAAAATGATATTTATATGAGAATCCCCGAAGGATTCAACATGCCTGAAGCATGCAAATCAAATTCTAAAAATATGTATTCTATCAAATTACAAAGGTCTTTGTATGGACTCAAACAATCTAGACGTATGTGGTATAACCGCCTCACTGAATGTCTAACTAAAGAAGGTTATACCAATGATCCAATATATCCACGTGTTTTTATCAAAAAAAATTGATCAAATTTTGTGATAATTGTGGTATATGTTGATGATCTAAATTTAATTGGAACTCCTGAAGAGAGTCAAAATATTATTGAATATTTGAATATATAATTTGAGATCAAAAATTTGGGAAAGACAAAATTCTGTCTTGATTTACAAATTGAGCATTTGAAATGTGAAATTTTTGTCCACTAAACTGGTTATACCCGGAAGGTATTAAAGCGATTTTATATGAATAAGGCACATATATTAAATATTTCAATGGTTGTCAGATCATTAAATCCTAATAAGAATCCTTTTAGACCGCAAGAGGAACATGAAGAGATACTTGGTCTTAAAGTACCATATCTCAGTGCAATTGGTAAAGAATATTAGAATGCGACGATTAAAAGATTTCAAATAATGTTTGCATCAGGGGGAGAAATTAATACACAAGAATAGTGTACTCTTTTTCCTTCACTAAGGTTTTTGTCCCGATGGGTTTTTTTCTAGTAAGGTTTTAAAGAGGCATATTCTTTGTGTAATGGACATCCAAGGGGGAGTGTTATGAAACAATTAAAAGTATGGATGTCCCTTTGTATTTCCAAGAGTATTAATTCATGATTTATGGCTATATTGTGTATAGAAGTTGCAATCCATAAATCTACTCATGTAGTGGAGAAACCGTTTCATAAGTTTTTTCATTTTATTGTAGCAGTGGATGTTTAATAGGATTAATGTTCCTTTAATCTTGTAGTACCTATATATAGAGGTACATTGACACTCTTTGGAAGGACTTTTGTATTTTGTTGGAATACAAGAATATCATTCTCCATTACTCTACTTTTCATCTAATATCTCCATTCATACTATAGTAGTTTATTAGTTTTACAACACTTAGTTTTTACGGATAATTTTACAAAAAAACACACAATAATATATCACTTCCACCATCCCATCACCCAACCCCGCCTTCTCTAACAATCAGCTTCAGCTCTCTCTCGATGCGCTATTTCCACCACATGAAACCTTGTTTGAATTGCAGTTTTCCGTCGAAAAATTACGTTGTTTTCCGTTATCACATTTCTCTATTAGTTTTTTTCATCACATACATCAAATTGTTACAGTAATTTATGAAAAATGCAATCCAAACTTTGCCTTTTTCTTTGCCATTACTTGTTCTTTGCCTTTTTCTTTGCAATCGCTACAGCCTTCTCTTTTTCTTTGCCTTTTTCTTGCCATCACTTGTTTCAACTTAATTGAATTAAAAAAAGAAGGTTGGAGACAATCATTATCTTGTTTGGATATTTCATTATTTCAAATAATATTTCGCTTGCATCATAAACATATTTTTCAATCCAGTTTTTATATTTTCAATCACATTTTTTATCTCACATATATCACATGAGTTTTTTTGCCAAAATAACATTTTTTCTAAAAAATATTCCTAATATGATTCGCTTTCAAATTTTATTCCCAAATCGATGTTATTGTTACCACCTAATTACCCTGATTGTCATATAGGATAATAAGAAATGAAAGCTTTAATCTAATCCATAGTTTCCAACAAAAACTAAAAATTTAAACTTTTTTATTATAGAGGCACAAGAAGATTGCATGACTTTAATATTTTTCTTATAATAATTTAAAATAAATTCTACCATTATTGACCTTACTATTATTGCTCTCTGTAATTTTTTTAAATGTATTAAACTTATAGCATGTATTTTAAAAAAAATATTTTGCAAAATAAACAAATTGCAATGAAAATTGTAAGCAATAACAAGAAAAAGTTACAAAAACTTCAAGATTATTATATTTGTTTTATGTTATACTTCATATTCCTTGAAAGGAACTTTTATAGAAAGTAATCAAACTATTGCAATTGAGATAATGCTAAAGTTTCTTGAAAGTAACACAAGCCATTAATTGATGTTGAATAAATGTGCAAAAGTACTTAAAGTATACAAGATTATTTGATCATGTGATAGAGAGGCACTACAAATGAACATGCTTATATATGTGGTAGAAATCAAACATATTGCGTATGAATCTATGTTGTTACGTAGTTTTCCTCTCAACATTTTATCAAACACACGGTGTGATAAATCATTTGTTAAAACAATTAGTATTCAAAAGTTTTTGAAGGCCATAGCAATGTTCCAAAAAACTGCACAATAAAAAAAGATAAGAGAATAATATTCGGTTACCTTGAGATTATCAATTTAAGGAGAATATTTTCATCCACAGATATAATATCAGGGATGATAATGAAGTTTTAGATATTGTTAATATAAATATTGGCTTCTCATAATTACATTTGACAAGGAAAAATAATGAAAGAACAAAAATTAACGAAAGGGAAAAAAAAGTAGGAAGATTCGAAAAGAGAATCAAGAAACGCATGCCTTTCTACAAAATTTATGAATAAACATATGCTTTTTATAGAATGATCGGGTCAACTTTATATTTATATAGCCAAAGATTATCCTTGACGATATATATCATATTTATATGGCCAAAGATTACCCTTAAGTGAACGAGCCATTTTGCCAAAGTGTTTCGATCACGAGTAGTTTTGTTATGTATTTTCGAATAATTGTATGTATAGTGGATGTGTGATGTAAAGACAATATTATGTCATATATAGTAAATATCTTGCTTTCATCAATTAAAATTTTCTCTCTCTCTTTCTCTGTACACATAAGTGTACGTACATATGCACACACACACACACATATATATATATATATATATATATAAAAGGATGATCAATTTTTGTGAGCTCATAATCTCGTACTAGAAAACCAAACAAAATAAAGAAATACACGGAATTGCCAAAACTAATCATGTATATGGACAACAATATACAAAAGAGAGAGAAAAAAAAAGAAGAAATATCCACATCATTATCGCAACCGAAAACCATCAAGTGCATGTGAGATTAGTGCTAGAACGCTTTTAGTTTATGCCGGATGCCCACGAAAACCGAGTTTGGATAAACGTTCGGTGTGTGGCGTAAACGGTCGCTAAGCATGAATCCAGTACGTGTTAGTCCATCACCTTAAAAAGACTGGAGTTGCAGCAGAGGGTCAGAATCCACAGCTAAGAGTATTGAAGTTCGGCAACCACTGATACGGATACACAGCTCGTAATGAATGATCTTAGCCCCAATCAAACACGTTAAAGATCGAACACGTCGCATCACAGCTCCGTCCCACGTAAGCCATCAGTCACCAGACACAAGCGTCGGGTCGCGTTACTTTAACACCGCTTCGCTGGCCTAAAGCGGTTCGACATCTAACGTCCCTCGAAACGGAATCACCGAACCAGCAGAAACTCTAACCCACGCCCGATTAACCATCCAACCCTTCCCTCCCGAACCTTACTCCGAACCAGAGCCCTACATATACCTGGCATACGATTCCCCACCTCCGAACCTGAGGCTCAAATCCCTACGTAACAAACTCCAGCTATGTTTCGGCTTTCTCCTCCGATATTTACTCTCCCTCTCTCTCAGTCTGGTATTGCTCCAGTCATCAAGTTGACAGCTTCACTGAAACAACACACCTTCCTTCTTTTTCATTCCCCTCTTTTTAAAATTTAATTTTCTTGAATTTTCTTCGGAAGTTTGAATGATTTACCACTCTGTAATCTTCTTCTAACTTCAGTTAATAGAAGGCAATTAATTCTCGCTACCGATCGTTTTACGAACTTGCTAGAGAGGACAGTTGCATTGGAGTTTTTTACTTCTGAAGCTGCAGTTGCTAGCTGAATTTTTTTTTTTTAAGATTCTCTGAGCTCTTTAATAATTGTAATATCGTGAATCGAAGGACTGTTTGCATAGTGCGGTGAATTGAAGTTTTCTGAATTGTACGTTTTTAGATGCTTGGATGATATGCAAAGCTAAAATTTGAGATCTTTGTGTGAGTTTTGTTTTAAATTTGATGAAAATTGGTGGCTTCCCATGTTGATTTAGCTTGAATTAGGGTTTGTATCCGGGAGATCTTGCTCGGATCGGCAATGCTGGGCGTGATCCATCAGATTGGTGTGGTTTTGACTTGTTCTGGTAAAGCAAGTGTGATCTCCTTGTGTTATAGCGAGTAAGCTTTTCCATTTACTTACTGTTTCAGTGTTTACCAATTGAATTATGCTGTTTCTGTGATTGTTTAGGGCTTGACTGCCAGTGAAGACAGTGATTAACTGCTATATCGTTTTGTGGAGCGGTTAGTTCATGTTTTAAGTCATGGCGCAGAGTAATTGGGAAGCAGATAAGATGTATGCAGTCCTTTTCTTCATCTACTGCTTTATTGTATTAGTTCTCTTTCCTTTCCTAGTCTTCACTCTTTTTATTGGTTCTTCTGTCGCTTATTGTTATCCCCGAGGAAGCAAAAAGAAAGGATGAGTCGGATATTTATCTAATTTGCTGGTGTTAGTTCTCGAAATTAAGAAATTTAGTAAGATTATGTTAATGAAAACCAACGGGAAAGGAAAATGCTGGAGTTCTCCACGGGACTTCAATATTTCATATATGGTAATCGTTCATTTGGGATATGGAAATTCTGGAGTGTAAAGGATTAATATATTAGTGTTTTCAAGTTGAAGAAAGCGTGCCTGCGTTCCAGTTTTGATGTTCTATAGACAAATACATATTATGCTTTTTTTGCTCTGTGGTATAAAGAGAGTAAGTTAAGATGCTGTTGTAACTCCCATTCGTTTCCTTTTTTTCTTATTATTATTATTTGTTCATTTCCCCAGGCTTGATGTCTATATACATGACTATTTATTGAAGAGAAAGCTACACAACTCCGCCAAAGCTTTCATGACGGAAGGGAAGGTTGCCACAGATCCTGTAGGTAATGATGATAAAAGAACTTTTGGCATGCTCATGTTGCTCTTCAAGTTTCAATAATAGCTTATGCCTAATCAACTATCACTGGTTTGCTTGGTATGTGGAATGATCACATTCTGGTATTTATTGACCTGCATGTAATTAGGGCATTTCTGAGTTTTTTCCCTTCTGTTTTGGTATCCAACTGTTTGATATCTATCTTATCGTATTAATTGCAGCCATTGATGCACCGGGAGGTTTCTTATTTGAATGGTGGTCTGTCTTTTGGGACATTTTCATTGCAAGGACAAATGAGAAACATTCTGAGGCAGCTGCTGCTTATATAGAGGTTTGTCATGCTTATAGAGATAGAAGATTGCATTTTTCCAATGATGCTCTTCTTTGTTGTTACTGTCTGTCCTTTTAAGTATATTTTTTCCAAAAGTGTCTTCTTGGAATTTATTGTTAGACACAACAAATGAAAGCAAGGGAGCACCAGCAGCAACTACAATTGCAGCAGCTGCAACTCATGCAGCAGCGCAATGCCCAACTACAACGAAGAGATCCCAATCATCCTCCCCTAGGTGGTTCTATTAATGCACTCAATTCTGAAGGAATTATGGGGCAGCCATCAGCCAGTGTATTGGCAATGAAAATGTATGAAGAACGCATGAAACACCCTCATTCAATGGATTCAGACACATCTCCAGCTCTTATTGATGCTAATAGGATGGCCCTTCTCAAGTCAGCAACAAATCATCAGGGGTAAGGATGCTAGAAACTTTTTCATTTATCTCATCTACTTTGGGTCTTACTTGGAAATTTGAGTGGCTTGTGTATCTTATTTTTTCTTCTTCTTGTGGTTGATTCAGCCAGTTGGTACAAGGCAATTCTGGGGGCATGTCTGCAGCTTTGCAGCAAATGCAAGGACGGCCTCAACTGACTGCTGTAACTACTTGGAACCATTTATTAGCGTCTACTACATGATTTCATCTTTCTTTTACCATGCTTAGGGCTGCGCTTTTCGAATTTTCAGGACATCAAAACAGAAGGGAGCATGGGTGCAACTCAGAAATCTTTACCTATGGATCCTTCATCAATTTATGGACAGGCAATTCTTCAGTCAAAATCTGGACTCGGTAGTGCAGGTAGTTTGCTTCCAAATGAACTAGTTTTATTGCTTAATGCAATAGGCTGAGAATTTAAGTTTGATCAGTTGTTTCACTATATTAAATATTTTTAGGAGGAAGTCTAAGATTTTATGCATTAAAAATGATACTCCCTTCGTCCCACTTTGATAGTCCCGTTTTCCTTTTTCGTCTGTCCCAAATTGTAGTCTACTTTCCAATTGAAGAATGTAGTTGTATTTTAATTTTCTTAAAATACCCTTATTTAATGTAAGTTGTTGTTACTATAAACCTACCCCATTTAATGAGAGTTGATTCTTTTTTTACCATCAATTCAAGTTCCCATAAAGTTGTACCATATTTAATGTGAGGATATTTTAGGAAAATAGCAATCTAAATTTACTTTTCCAACAAGGTTAACTACTTTTTCTTAAACTGTGTGAAAAAAGAAATGGGACTATCAAAGTGGAACGGAGGGAGTAGTTTCCATATTGTTTCATGATGCAGTATTCTATCAAAATCTTCTTTTAACTTACCTGCATATCCATATGTGGAAGGTTGTTAATCATGTCTTGCTAACTTTTACATGTCATAGAATTAGCTTTCGCAGACCATCTTAAAATTTCTAGCAACACAGACCTGAACTAATTGTTGTGTCATTCTTAGGGTTGAACCAAGGTGTGACTGGCCTTCCACTTAAGGGCTGGCCTCTAACTGTGAGTTACTGAGGACTTATCCAGCTGCATGATATCTGTTGATGATGTAGGATTTTGAAATCTAGAAGTGATTGACTTGGTTGCCTCCCCTCTGACAGGGAATTGAACAATTGCGACCAAGTTTGGGTTTACAAGTACAAAAGCCTAATTTGCAGAACCAAAATCAGTTTTTGCTGGCATCTCAACAGCAGCAGGTACTTGCCCAGGCTCCGTCACAAGGCAGCCTTGGAAGTTCACCCAATTTTGGGTTTGGTGGATTGCCAAGGGGCAATTTTAATCCCAAGGATGGGCAACCACCAAGAAATGATGGATCAATTTGTTCACCAGTGCAATCAAATTCACCAAAGGTGAGATATGTAGTGTCCACTAATGACCAATTGTTGCTGTCCTAGGAATGCTTTCACGTATAGTGGTATGTGAACCCTGAGCCAATATCCATTTTCCAAGGTGGCGCTCAAGTGTTTATGCAATTGCTCATGAGACATGCAGACATCCTAAGCTTTAAGTATTTGTTTCATTTTCTTGTATGTGACTGCATAGCATTCAGACATCCTAATCCACTTATTGCTCGATAGGAATGCTTTCATGTATAGCAGTATGTGAGGCTTGAGTTAATTTCCGTTTTCCAAAGTGATGCTCGCGTGTTCATGCTTTTGCTGACGAGACATGCAGACATCCTAATCTTTAAGTATTTGTCTCCATTTTCTTGTATCTGACTGCATACCATGTCAATTGAGTTTCCTGGTTTTATGTCTTAAGCCTTGCAAAGTCTCATCTTGGGTTTGGATAAACTGAAGATCTTACCTTTTTCGTACTCTTGCTTATTTTTTTTTAATATTCCTATTTTTTTATTTAGATGCCTATATTTGTACTTCATGCACAAATTTCTGAAAAAGTGTTCTTCTCTGTCTTTTTACTTTTGAAGTGCTAGCTTCTAACATGTTCTTGGTTTAACAGATGAAGATGACCCAAATGCAGCAATCCTCCTCCCAACAACAGGAGCAGTTGCAGCAGCAACAGCAACAACAATTGCAACAGGTTGGTCTGGCTTCCATAGCATGTTATAGCTGAATGTAAATCTGTTTGAACAAAAGTCTCTTATATCTTCATTGGACACTATTTTGTCCTATGCTTGTCTCTTTCTTTCTGGGAACTGAACTCACTCATTCATGTGCAGAGCAATAGAAAAAGGAAACAACATTCTTCGTCTGGACCTGGCAATAGTACAGGTACTGGAAATACAGTGGGTCCTTCTCCTAACTCACCACCTTCCACTCACACCCCTGGTGATGGAATGACTACTTCTAGCAGCATGCAACATGTCAATAGTGTGCCAAAAAGCTTCATGTATGGTGCAGATGGAGCAGGTGGAATTGCATCACCTACAAATCAGTTGGTATGTCTAAATTAGCTTTCCTCGCATAGTGTGATGTGCATGCTAACTGTCTCATTCTATTCACAGAAAACTTGATTTACATTCTTCATACAGAACCTGGTAGTGGAACAATAATTTTTTAAAATAAATCATCACAAGTGTCATGTTTGTGTTAAAGAAAGCATATTTTGCAAATGTATGCTGTATTCTATGGTTGAGGATGTCATATTTCTTTCTGTAGGATGATTTAGAGAATTTTGGAGATGTTGGCCCCCTGGAAGATAATGTTGAGTCCTTTTTGTCACATGATGGAGGAGATGCAAATATCTATGGCACATTGAAGCAAACTCTTACCGAGCACAAAACAGAGTCTTCTAAAAGTATCAAGTTGTCTCAGTTTATGCTTATTTTGAAGCTTTTATTCTCAATGAGACTGCATTCATGCAATGTTCTTTATTTCAGGTTTTTCCTTCGGTGAAGTTGGTTGCATTCGGACAAGAAATAAAGTGCTTTGTTGTCACTTCTCCTCAGATGGGAAGCTTCTGGCTAGTGCTGGACATGACAAGAAGGTAGCACAGTGCCAGCAGAATATCTTTGCCATATAGAGAGGATCATTAACCTTAAAGTTTCACTCAAATGATACGGTGTCGTACTTCTGTAATTCAGCTTTTAGAGTGGGAAACTTATTATCTTTGGGAAGTTATAGGCATTAATGAATATTTTTCCTTTTGCATGAGTCAGGCTGTACTTTGGAACATGCATACCCTGCAAACAGAGAGCACTAAAGAAGAGCACCAATATCTAATTACAGATGTCCGGTTCAGACCTAATTCAACTCAACTAGCAACAGCTTCATTTGACAAGTCGGTCAGGCTATGGGATGCAGCTAATGTAATGAACTTTTTGCTGAATCTTTTTTGTAATTCATGTTTCAATATTGAGTAATAGATTCAGGTTGATGAATGCATGGTATTTTATGCTTGTTGTAGACACTGAAACATCTCGATAATCAGTTTTTGTTATTTTGTTTTAAGTTTTGTACATTTATTATTTGCTCTGCCAAAATTATGAATCAATTCTATTTTGTTTTGCAGCCCAGCTACTGTCTGCAAGCATACACGGGACACGCTTCTCACATTTTATCTCTGGATTTCCATCCCAAGAAGAATGATCTTTTCTGTTTCTGCGATAGTAACAATGAAATCCGATTCTGGAATACAAGTCCATTCTCCTGTGCTCAGATTTCCAAGGTTAACCTTTTAAGACATTTTCTTAAATGCTTTTGCTTTTATTTTCTCGTGCAATTTTTGATACTACATGATTGAGATTGAGCTTCATTTGTGTGTTACTCGTTGCAGCAAGGAGGAAGTGCACAAGTGAGATTTCAACCAATAACTGGACACCTACTTGCAGCTGCCTCAGATAAAGTGGTCACCATCTATGATGTAGAAAATGATAGGCAAACCCATTCTTTCCAGGTTTGCTTGGATATATTTGATTGCCGTGATTCTGTTTTATGATTAATTTCTGGTTGCACTTCTCTGTTTGTGCTGGGCATTTGGATGTTCTGATCAGGATTGAGTCATTCCCATGTTGATATCCTTTGACTTGTTCTTAGGGACATTCTGGTGTGGTAAACTACTTGTGCTGGGATCTAAATGGTGACTATCTGGCATCTGTAAGTGAAGATTCTGTTAAAGTGTGGTCACTAGCATCAGGGGAGTGCATTCATGAGCTGAGCTCCAACGGGAACCAATTTCATTCTTGTGTTTTCCATCCGAATTATTCTGCTCTTTTGGTGATTGGAGGATTGCGGGTAATAACTTCTCTCTTTGGTGATTAGTGTATTCTTGTTGCATGTTGACTAACTTTTCATTTTCGCAATCATCCCCCTTTGTGATTTCAAGTCTCTCTCTCTCTCTCTCTCTCTCTCCCCCTCTCGCTCTCTCTCTCCAGTGTGTTGAAAGAGGCGGCAGGTTCATTACTGCAGCTAACTGTGTTTTTTGTGTTGAATATGGATTGTAAATGCTCTATCTTAATCGTATCCAAATTATGGGCAAATTGTAGTTTTAGCCTAATTTTATAAGCTGTCCTAATTTAGTTCTGTGGAGATTGGACTTGGGATTGGGTTTGAGTCCTGCAGCCGGCTAAAACATCTCATATCAAGACGATATCTATTGACTTTTTAAGAACGCAAGTAACCTCTGTAGGCACCATTTGTGCAAAGTTAAAACATTTTGCTAATTCCCATAGTACTGAGACTCTTATCTAGAGTCCTTGTGATGCTGTCAATGTGGTAATTTGTCCTGAACTTTCAATTTGAATACTAGCACTAAATTGGCAATTTGTAAATAAATTGTCATTTCAAGATTCTCAATTGCACTAAATTGCTGAACGGTAAATGAGGAAATGGCTCTACAAAGTTAAGGAACTAAAACTGCAATTTATGGAACATTTTGAAGAAAATTCTTTATGAAACATGCATTTGGTTTTCACCTTTTGTTGTTTTGGATGAGTGGTTTTTATGGTTTGGTAGATTGTACTTCGATTGAGCTAAGGGAGGGGACATAGGGAAATGGGAAGTTAGGCTTGGATATATTTAAGCTAATATAATCCCGTGAACACATCCTACTCTGATCCAAAGCTGTTATTTGATTGGTCAAAACCTGTTAAGTTACTGCCAAAAAGTAGTAACTCTTCCGTGTCAAATGTTGCATCGTCCTCTGGGTATTCAATTAAATCAATAGGTTGTGATGAAGTTCTCTGAGTACTGCTTGGCTTGTGATATATGATGACTCTATGTAGAATGTAACTGCCAATACCTCCTTTGATCTTCTCGTTGCAGTCCTTGGAACTGTGGAACATGGTTGAGAATAAAAGCATGACTGTCCCTGCACACGAGAACATTATTGCTGCTTTGGCACAGTCACCTGTCACAGGAATGGTTGCTTCTGCAAGTCATGATAGTTCTGTAAAGTTATGGAAATAACAAGGGTTCTCCATTGTTGAAGATGATGGGGGAATTGAGCTATACCGTTGCTGCATTCGCAAGTTCAAGAGGATCAGACCAGGACACGGAGGAGTTTTTCTTTACCAAATTGTAAGGAATCTCGTAGTATTTGCTAATGTGATCTAGAACTTCTATGAAGTGAAAATAGAAGGGAGAGAATTGACGAGTAATAATAGCTGATTGTTTGACAGGTGAGGTGAAAGACGGTTGCAACTGTTTTACGATTTTTGGTCACTAATAACATGTGATTAGTTTCAGTAGGATGTAGGGTAACTAGCTTTTTCTATTTATTGTTTGGAGATTTTCCTGGACGTTTTCGTGGATTGTTGTTCTATTGTCACTGCGGTTGGACAAATTGCATGCGTATTCGGTTCACTTTGTAAAACTTTCTCGAGTCCGGTGATAAGATCAGCGATGATGACACTGCAAGTACCAGAGAGTATAGGCTTTAGACACAGAAGCCCAGTTTGCTTGAGCCGTGGTGACCATGAAGTGTGAGCAGGACTAAAACTATTGGGGGATTGACATTGGTCCTCTTCAGTAATCTTAATTGCACCGTGCGCAACATAACGCCGCTTTAGATGGAAAGGATTAGGCCAAATTCTCAAACACTTCTTCAATAATCCACTGTAACAAGTTTTAGTTTTACCAGGTTTCTTAGTAGAATTTGGCATCATTACTTTTGCACAATATCTAAGGATCATTGCTTACCTCGAGGAGAATAACCTCCCCTTCAGGATCACATTCAACTATATCTCCGCCAACATGCTCCCCGAACATGACGCCTCCTGTGATCAATTTTTGTAGGAAAATGGCTTTCAGTTTTCACCATGCAAAGGATGATGATTTGCCTGGGTGAATATTGGAGATTTTCAAAAGAAATTAAAGATTATAATGGGACCGTTCATTCAAGTGTGAAGTGCTACAATCATTCTAGTGCTCTCACAATAGAAGTAATTACTTTACAGGTGAAAGGTCATCACTTGGATAATTGTAATCAATGTGTCAAGTCTATAAAGAGATCAACTTACAATGGATTTGCTGCAAAATATATATATCTATATATTATCCTATCAATACTACTCACTAGATATTCTGCAAAGTATACCAAACATTTCGGGATTTTGAACACTAGTATAAAATGTTATTAAGACATGTTTCGTTTTATCGTGAACAGAAAATTTGTCTATGGTATTGCACTAAATGGAGGATGAATTTAGCCTAAAGGAAAGTGAATCTATTTGACAACTTTACATCACAACTTTTACTTCTTGTTACTCATCACAAGTTTTACATTCCTCTAATTTGCATCAACAGTGAGCAGCTACATTTTTGATAACATGAGGTAGATCAAAATTCAAACACTGGCTAGTGTAGCACCATATCCACAGCCCACATCCACGATCTTTTCCACTCCCTCAAATCCGCTATAGACTTGGAGAATGCTTAAACTTGTATGGTTGTACGTTCCCTTTGTTGAAAGCCTCGTTGAACTTACTGTCTTTGCCTGCAAGGTCAAAAAGCATATCAATATCAAATTCTAACGGATTACCCATCTAATCAGATTAAACCATCAGGTCGAATATCCACTGTCATCGAATTTTATTCTACCCATTATTATCTCTAAAACTAAACACCTACCATATTCATCGAATTTTCAAACTGATAAAGGCGTGTAAGCAAAATATTTGTATTAATTACCAAATCGATTCTGCACAGGATAATTGTTTTAAGTTTTAAGATATATTAGAAATTTAGAATAGCTGCACATTTATGCGCCTAGAACGTACGTGCTATATATATATTCTCGAATTCCATCTTAGGGATAAGGTCAATAAGTTTTAGGGCAAAAGCTACTAATAGAGTTATTGTGCTATTATCTATTTACCTTTTTTTTTTCATAAAATAACAAATTTATTTATGTGTTCCATTTTTTGGGCTTTTCTAAAATATCAAGCTCATGGACGTCTGAAGTTCATAAAAGAGATTTCGCTTTCAAAGTTCTTTTTCTTTTTTGGTGCGATTCAAAAGTTCATTTTCGCTTCTCCGAACGGCGAGACTTCTGGAACTTCAGTTGCCGAGTCAGGGAATGTCAAAATATTCGAGTTTGGATATGGACTGCAATTGTGCACCAATGCAAGTTCATTGGGCCAGCGACTGTAGAAATTGGGCCTCCTAACCAGCACCGCCTCGCCATTGCGGAAACCCACCATTCACCGCTGCCTGCCTTTCTCCTTTGGGCGTCCGCTCTATGTCTCTCTCTCGCTCCATCCCTCCCGGACGTCGAAAATAGGTCTCCGATTTTCTGGTGAAGAAATGGAAATTTCAGACAAGGTTAAGAAGTTACTAGAGGACGGATTAGACGATCACGATGATTCATCTGAGAAGATTTCCGAATCTTTTATCTGCTGCATTTGCTTGTAATTCTTCTCTGACTCAACATTCTGATATTTATCTGTTGCCTGCATTTTGTTTCGTGCAATTATGAGCTGGACTGTTTTCTATGAAAAGAATTATTACTGGAAATCTTTTTTTCTTGGCGAGGATTATTAGTTACTCGAATTTGCGGCGGAATTGGTTATCTCAGGATTTATATGCTATTATCTGCTGTTTACAAAGAGAGGGAAATGTCGGCCAAATTTCATCCTTGCTGTGTCTTTGTTTTTCCTTTTCTTTTTCTCCCCCTCTTTTGGTAGGTAGTTTGGTAATGAAACTGAAACATTCAAATTAAATATTATAAGCACGAATTATTGTACAGCATAATAATGGACGATGTATTTGGACTGGATTATTGTCAAAAGACCAATTTTTCTAAAAAAAAAAAAAGGAAAAAGGCTTCTATTTTTCTTGTGGTTGGTATGAATTGGTTGTTTCAGAAATTCATCATGGTTGCATTTAGAACAGTGAGCCCGTATTAAGTCTTGCTAATTTTCAGTCATCTGATTCTGCATTTCTCAAACGGAAACTTACAATTTAAGCCTCTCAAATGTCAATTTGTCTTCTGATTATCATCGAGAGAGAAATATGGTACTTGGAATATAATGCTAGTGACTGCTACTGGCGAAGTTCCAGTAGAAGATCGCATTAGAAAATGTGTATGTTATAGTGCACGCTAGGCTATATTGTTTGACAGACCTTACTTACATTTTTTTTTTTGGGTTGCCACCGCCTTTCTTATGATTTGACATTAATTCTTTGTGCAGGGAGCTTCTCTACAAGCCTGTTGTTCTGGGTGAGATGTTGCTCTCATGGTGCAATTGCTGTTATCCTTTGTCCTGTCTTATGGTTCTTTTCTCTATTTGCAGCGTGTGGCCACATTTCCTGTTTCTGGTGTGTTCATAAGTCCATGAGTGGTCTACGCGAGTCTCATTGTCCTCTCTGCAGACATCCTTATCATCATTTTCCCACTATTTGCCAAATGCTGCACTTCTTACTCTTCAAGATGTATCCTGTTGCATATCAGAGAAGGGAGATTCAAATCCGAGGTCAAGTTTGTTGTGGCTGGCTTTAATTGGGGTTGTTATTATTATTGAAGTAATGTGGTTTAACAAAATTAATGATTTTGCATATTCCAGAATATGAAAAGGAACGGGACTGCTTCTCACCACAGTTTAATGGTCCTGTACGCGTGCCACAAACTGAACAAGAATTAAATCACACAGATAGTTCTCAAAGATCTGAAATTTCTTCATTGGACTTGTCCAAAGATCCAAGTTGTAGCGGCAACAGCAAAGTTATGTTTAATATGGAGCAACCAGAATCAGGATTAATTGATCAAGAAAATCTAAAAATGGCTGTGGGAGATATTGAAGCAACTAGTTCCATTGTTGACCGCGGTGACAAACTGCACCAAGGGATTGCCAATGGAACCCGCCAACCAATTTCAGTTGATGACGTACTGTGCACTTTGTGCAATCAACTCCTCTATCGTCCTGTTGTTCTTAATTGTGGCCATGGTATGTATCATCATTATTTCCTCATATAGGTGCAGTGATGGTAGGATGGAATAGAATCTGTGCCCATTTAAGTTTTCCCATTTGTAACATGTGTCTCAACTCCTGCTCCATTATCTACTTACCTCAGTTTGTTGTTTCTGTCTCCTCTGAATTTTGTCAGCTTATTGTGAAAGTTGCATTGTTACCCAAACCAATGAGACAGTCAAGTGCCAAAAGTGTGAAAGCAGACATCGAGGACAAACTCCAAAAGTCTGTTTGGAATTTGATAATTTTCTCGAGGAACAATTTCCGGCGGACTATGCACTAAGAAGTATTATTCAGCTTAAGCAGTCCTGTTCTCAGCGAGAAAGTCTAAGCACATGTATGCTCCTGATAAATTTTTTTTTTCCTTGTTTTATGTCCTGATCATAAACACACTGTTGAGTAGTTTTATCCCAATCATTTGGCTCTATGTACTTCGTCTAATCTCCCTATCCAAAAAACTCCATAAGCTCTAAGCTGTTAAAGTGCTCCTGGCTTGTTTGATTTGCTGTCAGTGGAAATGAGAGGTGAGGATTAAAGAGAAAGTAAAGGAGAAGGGTTGTTTCTCGTTTACTAACTGGCTATGATTAGATAGTGCCTGGTGATCTATTTCTGAAGATGCGGATTTGTCAGTTATTGTTTTTTCCAATGTAACTAGTTTTACAATCCTGAAGTTGAAAAAGTGGTGCTGAATGGCCAAAAAGCTTCTGATCTGTTTTATTTGGGGCAAAATTCACCAAAACTTTCTGTTTAGCATTCCATTTTCTTTCTATGTTGCTGTTTCTGTCTGTGCTTTTTATACTTCTTCAGTAATTATCAGTGGCATTCATTGCCTGATGTATTTGTGCTGCACCGAGTATTTTGATAATTTACCCACAAAGCTTGAAATTTCTAAGGTCTTTGTGCTGCACTGAGTATTTTGGTATGTTGTCTGCAAATTTTGATAATATCAGCATGCATTTCAGGTTCATCAGAACCTGCTAAAGAGAATTCTGACTTGTTAACTTCATCGGGGGAGAATGCATTCTCATGGTGGGGTGACCATAAAGTCCACATTGGAGCAGGTTGTGATTCCTGTGGGGTATGTACCTATCAGGCCATTTATAATTGTACAGTTGTCAGTCCTGGCCTATGTTAGCAACCTAGGGACTCCATTATTGTAAAGATACATTTTCTTAAAATATATTTCTCTTTTTGCAGAAGTAATCTTCTTTCTTCCTCACCTAAAGAAACTAATAGTTCTTGCCTTTGATACACATTAGTTGTTAATTTTCTTGTTTAATACACAAAAGTAGTTGGAAGTGCCTCTACGAATTTAACAAAATATGCAAAACTATGCCAAATAGCAGTTGCCTGTCAATTTCGATAGAGCTTTATT